TCTGTGAGGTTCAGCACACTTCGGCAGAAGGCCGTGAGGAAATTAGGATGCTTTTTGTGAACGGAGTATATGTTCAGGTTCCCCAAAATTATGTTTAGGTTTTCATCACTGAACTGTCCGTGTGGTGCTAACAATTTTCATAGCTCAGTTCCATAAACAAACACCCTTGTGATTCTACATCAGCTAATGTGGAATGCTGGGGGGGGGGATATGAAGCCAGGAGGCCAAGAAGTCACTCAATTTGACCTGTCATTTAGGTGCACAGTGAATTTGGCAGAAGTGTCACAAAGGCCATAAAGAACCAGGTTAAAGACTTTGTAAGTATTCTATGACTTATGAATGATCTAGGCTGGCTTACATAAAGAAAATCATTCTAAACTGACTCTCAAACCTTCACATCTCTGTATCATTTGTAAAGTGTTCAAGAATAGGACATTAGATGGCTCTTGGGGCATTTTCAGTATAGAAAACACCTCAGAAGATAATGTAAGAAAGAAAGGCAAACACACTTTCTTCCAACTAAAGCATTTATTTGAAAAGTGTTTGATGGATCAATATTAAAATCTAAATAAGTGTTTCTTGTCAATCTGAGTTTTCAGTGTTTTAGCAGATATGAAAACACTGACCTGAATGCAATAACAGCACTCACTATGTGATAGCCAGTTTCTTCACAGGATGTTGAGATTTGGTCCTATTACTTATTGGTCTTATTTGTCTTCAGAACCCCAGGCAAAGAGTGACAACCTTTCTGCCCAAGGTCACACCATTTGTAAACAGCAGCGCTGACAGTCTGGCCTCCATGTGTGTGTTCTTAGGCCCGGAAGCAGATGGCCACTGGCCACACTGTGTAGCAATCTGCTTATTGACTTACACATGTGTCCTTAGTAAGCGGTGAATGAAGTCAGGACTTTGTTCAGATCTAATCTACTTTAGAGTCAATGCTCTTTCTAATCTTGCCTCTAACATATCCTATTTACACCTGTTTATAAGATCTGGCCTGCTCCCTCGATTTGACTCTCCAGGAGCCATTAAGATAAGGTATAGGTGTGAGGAGGTCTCAGTCCAACAGAGACACCACAGAAACAGTGCTGTGGAAATGATCCCCACCTCAAAGGCACTAGCCACAGAACAACTCTGGAGCTTTCTGGAGAATGCTGGTTCCCAGCGTGTTCTCCTTTTGTCCTTCCAAGAAAGGGGTGTGGTTGATGGGGTCAGAGCAGTCTCTAATGGGGACATGCGACCATATAGGCTGGACACATGATTTCTGCTCTGTCTACTGAGCCCAAACAGCTCTCTCAACTGCCTGGGATCAAGCATGACAACAAATTGATAGATAAAGACCTGAGTGGGGCTCAGAGCATGGATTTCATAAAATGCCTTAGAAGATAGTAAACACCCCAAGCCACTCCCAAATCTCCATACCCAATGTGTTAAGCTGCTTCCAATGTTCCTTTAACCTACCTAACCTCAGAATCCTAAATATAAAGTGTCAAAGAGTCCCGAGGATTCTTTGAAGGTGTCTCAGAAGTTATTTTGGAAAGGAGTTCCAATAAGACAGGGTCTAGATTGTTACCTCCCTCTGATATATATATATGTGTACACACACACATACCACACACAAATCACACAAAGACACACAGACAGACAGACAGACAGACACACACACACATACACACACCCCAAACAGTGCATAGCAATGCTATTTGGCCTGCCTAATGAATCAGTATTCCATATTTTGTGTTTAAAGAAGTTTGTGGACCATTTTCAGTATTAACCTTCAAGCATCCCACTCCCACCGCCTCAGGTGTGCCATTTAGAAAAGGATTTGGGTTGTACAGACATAAGAGCTTGATGTTCCTGTCAGAGGAGACTTCACAGTCATCTGTCTAGGTCGATTCTGAAGAACCTTATACTTTGAAAGTAAAGGACATGCTGGACCAGGTTCTGACCCAAACACAGTATGAGATAATGTGTGATCACATTGGTAAAGATGACTTTCCTACCCAGAGTTTGTCATCGAGAACACTATCATCCCCAGAAGGCTTCAGTTTAGTCAGAGATGAGAGTCATAACAAATTTGTGGCATCATTCTAAATTACTTGTCTTTTTGCCTTCCAATTTGATTCACTTTCTTTTTCCCTGTCTGCTTTTAATTGTGCCTCTGTCCTCAATCCTCCCACACTGGGCTCATGGACTAGGAAGAGGTGGTCTGTGCCGTAAGCAATAAATGAGCTCAGTTATTCTCGGAAGTACTGTCTTAACTGTCTCTTTTCCTACAAAGAGAAACACATTAGTATTGTGATAATAGTTATTGCACAGACATTTTGACCAATACAAAGAGAAAGCTTTGTTTTTCTTTGTTTCCTCAATATATACTGTTATCATATGCTATATGAGCAAAAAATGGTGTCAATCATATTAATGGTGACAGCATCTTTAAAGAAAACTTATGTAGGTATCCTTTGTGTTCCTCAAAGTAGCCTATTTTTAGGTGGGAAGTTCAATGAGCTTTAGTAAGAACACAAAGTTCTAGAAGTGCCATCATTGTCAAATTCTAGAATATTTCTATTACACTGAAAAGAGGTACTGTCTATTCCCACCAGTCTCAAGTAACCATTAATTTACTTTCTGTCTCTCTAGATTTGATTTTTATGAGGAAAAGATGTTTAATATGAATAGAATCATACAATGTGTGCTATTTTGTGACTCCTTTTAGTTAGCTTATTCTTTATAATTTACACATATTTTAGCAATAATAAAACATCCTTTCATATACCACTCTTTTGCATGTCAGTATTATGTATAAAAAAGAGTAGAATTTCAGAGGGAAGGAATGTGAGGTTGAACAAGTCTGTGGCACTTTCTAGCTGAGTCTTCGCAGACCTTCCCAGCATCTTTTGAAATACAGTTGCAATCCTTCTCTCAGACACTCCTCAATAAACCCAGACTTCCTGTTTGCCCAGCAATCTGTGTACTTCTCACCCCCCTCCCCACTTCAAACTGTGCAGTGAGACTTACAGCCTCCCCAGCAGCCTTCTCATCAAGTTTGGAATGAGAGTCACATAGTAAAGCAATATCAGAAACATAATCCACCAAAGGGAGTCGTGTCCTTCATTAATGAAGCCCAGATGGTAAGGAACTAAGGGGATTTCCTTCAGCTATATCAACTGTCACTTCTTATAAATAATGTTAAATTGCATTTAATTATTTTTTAAAGGGGGGAATGGATCACATTCTATGCTAGACTATTGTGGAATTTTATGTTAATAGAGATCTAAGAACACCCTTGTTCCCCACCAATTCTTCTAAAAACTGCCTCCATTGGCAACAACCCCACATTAACAGGTAAACAAGTTTGCCAGGCTCAGAGTAGATTCAGCCCACTTCACATCCTCAACTCTGGGCATTCACCCAGTGTGTGCAGACTCTTACCTAAGTGATTTGGAGAGCAAAATCAACTCACTTCTCAATCCTGCTCATTTCTCCAGCCCCTCTGTCTGACTGGAACATGGTCTCATTTTGAGTTTTGACTAAAAGGAGCTCTAGATATGACTTCATCTTGAATTTATGGAGATACGGACTTTCCGCTATGAGCATTAAGTTCCCGTCCATATCTATTCTCCCTCCCAATCAGTGTTTCTCTACTTTTCAATTAATCATCACTCCACTTCACTCTTCATGTTGATTTTCTTGGTGTGTGTTATAGCTATGTACTGAAACACCTACTTCCTCATTACTTCCCAGGTTTACTTTCTGTTCAATAAAGCATAATAGAAAACGAATAAAGCTTCTCCATATTACTTCTAATCTGTCTCCCAAGTGTGCCACCGACACCCAGCTTACTTCTAAATAAAAGAGGTTTGCATGTTATTTCGGGTATCCTTCACTTCAAGTAAATGAGAAAACTTATCTTTTTCATGAAATAAAACTCCCGTTGTCAAACATAAATGAGGTATTTAAAAAAGTAACATGATTTTCTCACTGTACATGTCAGTAATGTTATTGCGTGTATCACTGGCATTGATGATGCGAAGAAGGACATTAACTGTTTCCTAAGTGATCCGTCTGCAGCATCATCAGGTGTGTAGCTGCATCTGCGCTTATATTATGATAAAGCCACACTCATGAAATAAAAACTGGATAAAAGCTAGACCAGGACTGAATCAAGCACTCACATTGTCTATGCAAGGGTTCCCGCAACATCTCTGGGCGTACCTAGTTTGATAACAGCAACTGTTGGCAAAAGGCTGGTTCTTTCCCTAATACTGAGGTCCAGATAGAGTAGATGGGATCCCAGAAGAGGAGTTTTCATTTACTCTGTTAGCATCTTCTATGGGCTTGGGAATCCATAAATGTGATGAAAATAAATAAAAATGGGTAGGGGGTGTGATGGATAAATTATCCAGCTGATGCTCACTCAAATTTGCCAATATCTCCAATGTGGGAAAAAAACAAATGACAGCAGCAACAAAACACCTTTCCTTGTGTCAAAACTTCCCTTTCACGCCTAGTAAAGGAATTGATGTAATTTTTACCCAAGATTTTACTTTACCCACTTTAAGCAGCACCATAGGGATATATCACATGACATAAAATCATTTAACTAAATCTGAGATTTAGCAAAGATTTTTCTCTCTCCAGCAGCAGATTATGAACTCATCTTCAAACATGATAATCTAACTTTAATGCTCACACACTCCCCTCATCAAAATTGTAAGCTCCCAATTCCAGTTAATTAACTGAAAGTTAACTTTTTAAAAAGTCAGTGAATGACCATAACCACCCATAGGCATGCATTTATGTCTGCCTGTATGTATGTCTGCTTGTCTATCATCGCAGTAATACAGCTTTGTTATTAAGGGCTCACTCATCTCAGGGTGATTGGTTAAAATCAGATTTGCTTTAGAGAGCTCATTCTGAGGTTTCAATCACTACAGAATTCTGCCAGCATCCATGCATCATGTACACAAATTACCAGATAAAAGTTCAGAGTCTCCTACCCTGAGATGGCAGCCAGCTTTTGGTGTGCCTGACGGGCCATTTCACAGCCTTTGGTTCTTGTCTTGTGCATTTCTGCCCGTAGTGAGGGGCAACTGACCGAGACATCCCCAATAGAAATGACCAACTCTCGGTACAGGGCCACTTGTGTGTTGAACTCTTGGACAAGCTGGAAAAAAAAAGCCAATTTCTTTCACTAAGCATTCGCTTATCAGAAACTTAACTATTTTCATGTACATAAACAGAGATTTCACTGACCTCTGTCTGGCCTGGCACCCCAATCTCCAACTACGGAACCTGTTCAAAGCTGAAGGCTTAAGGGTGGCAAGTCCCTTCATCCAAAGCCAATGTTTGTTTTTCCTCAGCAAGCTAGCCATGGACGCTCCATTTGCAGGCCCAATCGCCCCCACTTTTTAGAGTATGTTTCCGAAGAGCAAGAACATCTTTGGAAAGCTATCGAGCCACTCCCAGGCCACGAGAAAATGATGCTGTGGTCTCTGAAATAGATACTCTCTCTGCTACGGCTAGGATATGGATTTGAAGTGGCACAGGAAAAAAAAACATAAGTAGGACACAACAGGCAAACCTTTCACCTCCTACCGGGCCACTGAACGCTTCTGGTTTGGACCCTGACAGACAGACTGGTCAGTGTCCTGTCCTCTGCGTTGGGACCTTTCATCGCCTCTGCAGCGCTCCTGCACTCTGTTTGGGTTTGTTTGCTCCTGTGTCACCACAAAGCCTCACCCCCACCCTCTTTCCCTGGCGAGCGAGCCTCTTCACCCCTTTGGCGTCTATCATTCTTTCACCGGTAGAGACATCACCTTTAGCCTCTGACTCCCAGAATCCAGACCCATGACTCTTGTCTTGACAGGGCCATTTCGAGCTGGGTGTCACCCCGCATCTGGGGGAGTACAGATTTAAAAATAGTACATCATGCACGTGATCGGCATGGAGAGGCTGAGGGTGGGGAGTGGCTGGCACTCAAGCAAAGGATTAAGATACACGACTCCCACAAACCCCCTGAAAAAAAAAAGGAAAAAAAAAAGGCGCAGTTTTCACCCACCATCTTGCAGTCGTCCAGGGCTCGTTGGGTTTTGTGGGCGCTTTCGGAGCCACTGCCCCTGCGCTCCCAATCTCCACTCTGCAGCGGAGGCTTGCTGATCTGGAAGATCGAGGAGCGGGTGGACCGGCTGGGGCGCTTTTTGCGCCCATTCGGTGCAGAACTCATGCATACACATCCACCAAGCCGAAGCCGCTGGTGCAGTGCGCCCCGGCGCGGGCGGCCCGATGATTGCCCCTGCACGCCGCCGCGGAGCAGCCAGAGCCCGGACCCGAGGCGCGCGCGGCTCACAAGGTTGCGGTTGGCTGCGCGGGTGGGTAACCTTCAGCTTGAAGGAGAGCCGGGGAAGCGCTGCCTGTGCGGTGCAGCATAGCTTCCACTAGCAGCGACGAAGAGGCGCGATCAAGTTCTGCTCAGCAGCATTGCCGGCCCTGTCCCGGGAGCTGGACGCTGCTGGCGCGGGCTTGCACCGCCTTCCTCTCGGCATGGATTGACAGGCTGAGCCAGGAGGAACGCGCCGCCGGGCGGTTCCGAGTTTCCATTCAGATGGGGGAAGCTGCGTTCAAAAGCCTGCGCTGCAAGGTGGGGGGCGGGAGGGGGTGTCGCTCTTGCTTCGGTGTCTTCCCGCAGCGGTGCGAGGTTCGCCTCTCCCCTCCTTCCTTGGTCGCCAGGCCTGGAAGGGGCCAGCTGCTCCGCAGCAGGCAACTCTGTGCTAATCGGCCCTCTTGATTCCTCTGCTGGCTGGTGTGTGTGAGGATCCCAGATGAATCTGTGGCGGGACTGGCAGACGCACAGAGTCGGTCCGGCTGACGTTGGTCTTGGCCCCGCACATTGATAGGACAGGAATACTAATGTGATCCATCCATACAATCTCCTTCCCTTTCACAGTTTATGCACTTATCCAATCAAATTCCCGGGAACATCAATTGCAATATTACTTCATCTGCTCTATTATTAGAAACGAAAAGTGTCATCAGAGTGGAGAACATTGCCACATGCTGGGACCTAAACATGGATTTCAAATAAACCGATTGAGGTTTGAGGCCTTTGTCATCTGAGAGGAGACTTTTAGGGGCCATAGCAGGGAACGATGTATTTTGTTTCTGAAGGAGGCTCTCTTGATAGCATCCAAGGACAGCGATGTTTCCCTGAGTTGGTTTAGTTTGGTCTTTGCTCCTGGGAGCGGCGATGAGGCGAAGTCACAGGGGCATTCACTCAAGTTGGTACTCATACTCACCCCACTTCAAGTGGTTAAACCTGCAAGTGTTTGCCAGCAGAGATTTGAAGATGTAAGGACCAACAAAACAAAGCAGAACAAACAACTCCAACCCAGCCACAAACTGACCTTTTTTCCTTATGGGAGGTCAGCGTCAGGACCAATGGAAAGAAAAGGTTATCTCCAGAAAGAGGTGGGGTTAGGTCCTCAAGCCAATCGGTTTCCCTCTGACCATTGACTTTGTAAAATCCTACTGGAAGGAAGGGGGAGTGGAAAGGCCCTTCAACTCTGAGGTCTTGAACACTTGCTCCCAGGAGAGAAGGGCTAAGGAAACTTGTTTCCCTGGGGAAGTAGTTATGTAATGAACAACTCTTGAAGAACAAATCAGAGGTTTTGGTGACTATCTTAGATGAATGTGGAGAGCACGCAGAAAGGGGAACTAGAAATGACCAGGGAGGCAACGACGTAGGTGGGTCTTTGAAATACCTCTAGATCCCTTTCTTTAGTTTTTTTTTTGAAGTTAAAATCTAACATGATTTCACCCTTCCCTTACTCTCTTCAACTCTTCCCGTATACACCCCCTCACCCATAAATTGATGGCCTCTGTATGTTTTCCTTTTAATGGTCAGATAAACACACTGAGGTGGTGTGGGATAACATAACGAAGCATGTTTGGCTGTTGTCTCTGGTCCTGACACAGTGCTGTCTGGGTGAAAGGGGTGATGGGATGTCTTGGTGCAAGAAAGACTAATCCTCAAGGAGCCCAGGACTGTCAACTCTCCTCCCAGCTCCCAGAGAAGGGAGAGGGGTGAAGAGAGTTTACCATCAACAACCACTTCTTTATGAGTCAGGTAAAGAAACCTGTGAGAAAACCGTCACCCAGATGGCATCGGGAACTTCCATGTTGGGAACAACATCCAGGGGCTAGGAGGATGGTGTGCCAGGCACAGATATAAAAACATCATCCTCTACCCAATACCTTGTCCTAAAAATTATATTCAAAATTTCATACGTGCATAAAATGTTCCTCCATTACCTTATCTGCCCCTCCCCTATTCCCCCACTACTATTCCATCTCACAATTTCATGTGTTCTGTTTTTACTTTTTAAACAAACCGAGTCCACTTACAGCTGTCAGTATGTGTATAGATAGGGGGCCATCTTCCAGATCATGGGTAGCCTCCTGGGGGCTACACCTTTGAAGAAACTTACTCTTCCTTTCCCAGAAGCCATCAAGTGTCAATAGCTCTTGAGCTAGGGGTAGGTCTTCAGGACTCCCTTTCTTGGCCACAAAGAGGTTTTTTTTTCTAGGTTGATCTTACTCAGATCTTGTTCATGCTACACAACTACTTGCAAGCGCTTTTGTAGAACTTCCCTGTTGTTTCTGAGAAATAGTTTCTCTGAAGTCATCTACCACCTCTGACTTTTATGTCTCCATCTCCTCTTCCATGGTGTTCCCTTAGCCTTGGAGAGGAGGGTACGTGATATGGATGTCTCATTTAGAATTAAACATTTTGTAGTCTCTTATTCTTTGCTTAGTGACCAATGGTGGCTCTCTGTGTTAATTGATATCTACTGCAAAAGATGAATCAGGCTGTCTCCATCTTAGACATGAAAGTCATGCTATAGTAAAGATAAACTAGGCTTGTTCCTGTTTATGATTAAGTCTATTTCTCAAGGATTGAGCTGTGCCCACCTGTGTCCTTCACTAAAAATGGTTCTGTACTGCCTGTTCCAGGAACTGGCAGTCATGACTTGTGTTTCAAAGGGTTATTATGACCATCTGTTGTTATGACCACCTTGTTATGACTCCCTTGTTATGCCTATCCTGTTTTGGCTACCTTGCAATCATGTCTTTGTTTCAGGAGGATGTTAAGACCAACTTGTTTTGTTTATGCCCTGCTTCTGTAACCTCACCATTTGCCTGCCAAGTCTCCAATTTGGGAACCCCCTACTCTTGAACTATAAAAGCTCTTATCTTACCCATGTCCAATGCTGATCTCTTGAGCTTCACTTTTAGGGAGAGACAACCTGTGTGCATGAATTTTAAAAAAAACACACTTTAATTAATTGGTTTCTTTAATGAATTTGGACATAATATGGGTTGGTGGTCTTTGTCCTAAAATCTGTGGGATTAACAGAAGTTTCTTTAATGAGGGTTTTAAAAATGCACTTATCTATGGTTATAATGATAAGACATAAGGAGTTGATTTCATGCTATGTCCATTTTAGCAAAATAATTGTAGTAGGTCCTTCCCTAGGGCCTATTACCTACTTAGCTATGCGATCTTGGCCTTTTTAATACAAGACATGAGTTCCATTTTATGAAGCTGGTGTTAAGTCTAATCTGAAAATGTTTGATGATTCCTAATACACTTACAACACTGTTACATATCTTACCAGGCTAGTCTTTCTTACAACCCACAGGGTTCAGAGATGGGTTATAATAGTGACTGTTTCTCCCTTGGTACTTTGGATAGCATCTTCAGTAGTATGAAGCTAGCCAATGGGGATAAAGCTTTCAGGTAGGGCATCAGTTTGATTTCACCATGTCTCATGACTCAAGAAGAGGTATTATCTGTAGTAGGCCCTTATAATCAAGTTCTAGAGGATAACAAAAACCAGTGGCAATATTCTGCAGTGTTTGTGGGTCTATGGGACTCCACTGACTAACAACTCTAAAGAAGTAATTCATTTCTGACACTGGGCATTTATTTGATAGTCTATGCTGTCTAGGAGAGGTACCTTACCCTATTTTAGAGTAACTCCATTTAAACTCTTTGTGTGTGTGTGTGTGTGTGTGTGTGTCTGTCTGTCTGTCTGTCTTCTGTCTGTCTGTCTCTGTCTCCCTCTCTCCCTCTCTGTCTCTCTCTCTCTCTCTGTATGTTTGTTTGTTTATATGTTTTAGGAAACGTATATATCAGTATGCTTCCACATGGACTTTTCTAAGGTCTTAAGTTACCTTGAATAACACTAAAGATTGCTGAAATGTTAAAATTTATTTTATTTATTTATGAGGTGAGTGGGGTGCATGGTGCATGTGGAGGTCACAGGAGAACATTTTCTCCTCTCCTTCCGTCATGTAGGTCCCAAGGGTAGAACTCAGGTACTCAGCCATGGTGACAGGTATCTATACTTACTTGTTGAGCCTACCAACTCCGAATGTGTCCCTCTTCTATTTGGTGTTCCAGGATGACGTGTGCTTTAATAAACAGGCAACAACTGAAAAGCGTTCCTGAGTTCCATGAACTCTTGTCATAAAGTTTCAGTCCTGAGAGGGAGACGTGTGGGAATATCTATCTGTGTCCTACTTGGACAGAAGAGCGGGTAACCCACAGACCAACACTTTTGACCGACAGTTCGGAGGGCAGTCCTGAGGGATGAAGCCTTTAGACATGCTGAATCTAGGGTCAACTCTAGGTGTTGTGTGTCATAATTATTTGAATGGTAGGATACTCTCATTGTTTTCAGTGAGGTGGAGTGGTATTGGAAAAGACATTACTTATTTGGTTGTGAAGGAAAACCAATACCTTGTGGTTGGATATCTGAATGAATATCCAGTTTCATTTTTCATATTATTCTGAAGGCAATTGTTTTTTTTTGCCAAAGACACCAGAGGAAGGAGGTCTCAGTACTTCTTCCCTTTTCTGTGCGCGGTAACATCTACAAACACCAGTGTAAAAGGGCTTGTCGCCGGTCTTTCCCCCAGGATAAAAAGATACAAGGTTAACTCTCAGCCAGCCCATGGGCTTTTACTCTATCTGAAGTCTCAGTGTCGGTGTGCTCTCTGCTTCATGTGTGTAGGGAGGAAGGACTGAAGAATCACTAAATCACATAATTGGGATTTGCGGGGTGATGAGGCTGTAGGTGGTGAGGAATACGGCAACAGAGGGAGTGAGGAACTCTGAAAAGACGTGGGTAATGCCTATTTGTTCATTCTTTGAGTAAAACCCACTTGTTACTATTAACTTACAATTGTACCTACCCCTCCACACACTGAAGAGACCCTTCTGTAGCCTGTGGTTGACAGGACTGAGGAGGATAGGTGGAATAGGGTCTGCCTTTTCTGGCATGTGGAGAGAGGATGGAGAGCAGGGCCCCGACACTCGGTGTGCTGGTCGCCTTTTGTCACTCTTCTGGAATTGCACCCTCTTTCTTTGCAGGAAAATAGTGATTTCTACTAGATCTGAGTACTTAAAACTCCCTTAGTAGTGCCTTTCTACTCCAGCTACAGCCATCTGGTTTCTACCCTCCCCATTCTGCCTACAGATAATTTCAGCAGATTAAAAGATAAAAAAATAGGCAACATAATTGCATTACCCTGTTTCCATGCAGGAGGTGGGAAAAGGGGGAAAATGAGGCATTAAGGAGTCAAATGCAAAGCCATATCTTAAGGGCCACAGATTGGCACACCTGCTGAGGATTAAGCAGAAATTGTCACTTGCAGGTGCCCTTTGCCTTTCCCTGATACAAGCCATTTTCCTAAAAGGGGGAAAAATAGCATCAATTCCAGAGCTGTCTCTCCCAGCTACAAATGCTGTAATCAGAATAGCAGCAGGCAAGCTTAGTTCCCTCACCTTCCCCCACACTCAAGACAGCATGATTTC